TGCGGCCTATCGCCGACCGAAGAATCGAGATAACGTAATCGACGATGACATTGAATGCCGTAGTAACTGACCGCGTGCATTCCTGCGCACTGTACTCTCCCCCTCCCCTCCCCCTCCTCCCCTTTTTGTCTTCTTTCCCGTGCTGCAGTAGTGGCGGAACGTCGTTTCAGATCGATTCTTGCACCGATGCCAACGGTAGGTTGTCACCTCTGGATATAAACGACGGGTGACGTCAGTATGACATCAGTGATCCATATCGTCGTAACACCGTAAGGCGCCTCGCTCGCGTATTACAGACACTTCAAGACGCGTCAGCATAGAGACACCTTTGATAATTCGATGCGTCGGCGACGCGGCAGGTAGACCAAAGGAGAAACGCGGGGAAAGAGAAAGGAGGACGGGGCTAAATGCCGAGGAAGAAAACAAAAGGAGCACACGAAGGCGGAATTGGCGAGAGGAGGTAAAGGATGGATGTTAGCGCGCAACTCTGGCAACTTAAGACCCTTCAGCGGTATTTTATGGGTGGGGTCGCCCTCTCCGGCGAGGACTATCCTATGCGCCTAGTAGTCCGACCGGACAAAATGCAAATCTCCGCGCACCCCGCTAATCTGTCTGGTGCATCCGTGAGGTCCGGAATCCATTGGCGGAGATTGCGGCTCGTGAGCACGAACGCGCGGGTAACCTCGAGTTTTCCCGCGTAACTCGTAAATCAAAGTCGTCCGCGCGGAGAGGACTGCGGCCGGCCCGCTGCAGGAAGGAAGTTGGGGTCTTGTGCGTCTGGCGGGCGATCGTCGAACTGACGCACCCTGCCTGATTCATATTCAGCGAATATGCGGGAAGCTGCGGCGACCGCGCACGGTCGGGGACTCGGCAGAAAAACCGGTCTAAGCGGAGATCGAAGATTGAGATAACGCGCCAATGTGTCACAAGTGATCTAATCATTCATTTATGTTTTAGTATATCGTTAATAATTATGGACTTGGAGGAAAACGATGTAAACAATCACTCGCCGACACGGCTTAACTCAATTACGACTCTCTTGATACTTGGATCGGTTCTCCTATTTCCTTCTCGACTTTTTAATCATCGCTCGATTCAGAACTCGAGCAAGGAGGAAACCCGACGCCTCTGCAGACCGCTCCTGACGATCCCTTATGCGCATACCGTATCAAATGTTGCGAGCTACGCATAATCTATCTTTTCTATGGTGCTCACCGTGCGTTCACCCGTGGTGCGATACTCTCGCTGTAGGTGCCGATTAGAGTAGCATTCGCTCGGCGTATAGTAACATGACTTACGCGTATACGGTTGTTAGCGCGTGCGTACATATCCTATTCGCGGAGGTGTAGAAAGAGAAGCGACTACGCGTCCTACATACCTCTATGAATGACGTTGCAATAATGAAAGGCGCGCGTTTTTCATGATAAAGCGTGTCCGACAGTCGCGTGTCACTTTTGCACGCGGTACGCGGTATCTCTAGGTATCTAAGACGCGTCGACTATTATATCGACTAATAATGTCTTACTACGATAATTCTTTTATTATTTACATAGAAACAAAAAAGGCAATTTACTTTCCGATCTAATTTTCTATGTAAAATGGAAATTGTACGGTCGATAACTATCGCAAAGGCTGTCTCTTCGAACACTTTCATATAATATTTACTTTAGTATTTTGCAATCGATAAGAATTATCTTGTTGACCGGCACTATTTTCAAGAACTCCACTTCGGCCTCTGTAAAATAATATGCCTCTCTGTATAGAGCATATGTATATGCAACGACACGCGAATCGCGATCTTCTATTATCTACCCTTTTCTCGCTACGTACTTATCTGCATGCGTGCGTGCACTTTTGAACGCACGTCGGCGCTCTCGCTCTCCGATATGAGATCCGCAAAGCCAGCCCGAATGGGCTCTCGTATCGGGCACCTCGCTCCCACACTCGCCCGTACGGCGTTGATATTGCGCACTCTTTCTCCCGGGTACCACTCGCGTCTCTTTCCGCCCGTGCGGTATGCTCCCTCGCCTGCACTCTCGCTCCTTTTCTCCTTTCCGTCTTCCACTCGTCGGTCCAAAGAGGCGAAGGTGGAGGCTAATCACCACGCAATCATCGCTCCCGATGCGGCCGGGGCTCCGACCCGTTCCCAGAAAGCAGCAACCGCCTTTTGCCGCCCTGGGGCCATTCACCACCGCGGTACCGATGCTGCAAAACCAACAATCTTCGTCCTGTGCCGCGGAAAAAAGAGCACTGCCCTCCCCGCGCTCCGTTCCCCGCCTCTTTTCGCCAAATCACCGGAGGGCCGGCCGATCATCCGACTACTGGCATCCGGGGAATCCATCGCGAGAATAGCCGCGATTCCACCTTGGCAGGGCCTATCGAGAGACGAGGAAGGCATGCATTAAACCCGCGGAGGCAACTACCGCGTCGACACGACACTGCCCGGAATGCGAGTATGAAGCTTGAAAAGAAGTATATTTTGGGATAATTCTCCCATACGAATGATGGACGTTTCGTTCTGAAATGCGTTTTGAATCGACATTATCGCGTGTAATGAGAGTGTACCGTAAGGACGAAATGAGGCACCTGCTCGAATAATTGTACGTGCTGAAACTCTATAGGAATAACGTAGTTATTGCGTGCGATTTAGTAACTCATAGGTAGGTCGCGATTATAGGGATATTATGCCACAAAAAATATCCTGCTCGCGATAGAATTTTGCTTCCTTTTTATCACGTATTAATCAATTGTAATCTCATTATTTTGTATTGAAAGATATTTTATATATTTCTTATTAACTTTTGTAAAAACATTTGTTACACTCTATATAAAATAAATAATAACTCAAATCTACAAGATAGAACTATATAACTATATAACTATATAAAACTATATAAGATATAAACTATATAAACTATATAAAAACTATATAAAAATGATTATTAACTTCTAAATTCGTTTTTTTTTTTCAATTTTTTGGCGTATCAATTTTCCAGTATTTGTTTGTTTTACCACAATATAACATGCTTATACTAAATTAAATCGTAACCTGTCAAAAACGAGTGACTTTGCGTAAAGCTGTCCTTTGTCGCTGTCCACCCTTAGATACAAGATAATACAGAAAATCGGTAACTGGTAGGTAAGGACGTAAATTGATATAGTTGGGGGCGATAGTCGTTAGAGTGTATATAATATTGGGTGCACCTTTACTGTACACCCACGCGACGTGCACCCAGCCGACGATACAGGATGCCTGAAACTGCTGGCTTGGGGCAACTCCGGGAGAAGAAGAGGAGGCGTGAGTTTACGATAAGATACACACAGCCACGCAATTGGCTTCCTCCGGTGTTTCGCGCTAACAGGCTAATCGAATTGGGACTTATCGTTACGTCGCCGGGGCAGATTCACTCGATATCGCGACGCATATTAAAATTACGATAATCGAGTTCTCGGATTTAACTATTCTCGTTTTGTTGGTATAACTCCAAGATATTTGCAAAACACGATAAATCAAGGACGAAAGGATTAGCTCTCAATTGGCAATTATCCATCCAAAAAAAGAAAATATTGCGAGAAATATATAACAAACTCTTTCTAATTTTTTTTTTTTTTTTCCGAAGGGAAATATCGAGATATTTTTGTTAATCAAATTTAGTACAAACCTGATATCTTTGCTATATTTTTATTTCCGAATAAAAAAAGCGCCAAGAGTTTTGCGTGATATCTCGAGCTATGTGATATCATTACAGTGTCGGATATTAATGCTGAAAATAGACACGTGGTACACGCGGGATCACGTAGCGCGTGTGCGCTTTTGCCGCGCGATGACCGACGTGCCACGCACGTAAGACCACGCGTGACCGACGTGCGAATTGTACGAACTATCGTATCAAATTGCCATTACGGCTCGCACCTGAGAGCACTCGTACCGTCGCTTCGAATGAATTTACACGTGGTTTTCTGTACGGCACGCACGAACTATCAACGCGCGTTAATTGCTCACATAGTGGTCCATGAAGTCTTTGTCGGTCTTTACAGCACTACTAGTGTACCCAGACTAGACTTCATGGGGGCTGAATGGTATTGATCAACAATTGATTCGATACGATGCATTTGTTATGTGGTGCTGACAATAAGTATTATGCGATACTGAGGACCATTCAAATCTTAATAGTATGCGTAGGAGAGTAAAATATTGTGTTTCTTCTCCACAAGTTGATAACTAAAATGAAGAGTAATTTTTTTCATCTCTTACTTCCAACAAAGTAATTTTGCTTCAGAATTTATAAGAAGTTCAACTTGTTCTTATTTCACTATTAATTCACTATTGTAAATTACATGCGGAAAAATTTCGAAAGGTCTGTCCCGGGATAAGTTCGCAGCAGTAGAATCACGAGGAAAGTCGTAAGCTGTGACGTTTAATTGTGCAATAAATCTTGATTCTCCGATTTGCAACCCATTTCCTACTGCGGGGGCGACGATTGGTCGCTGTTAAATTGACGCGTAGGTGCAATGGAGGTACCTACGTATCCGTGTAGGTACGCCGAGCGTGAAAGTCGGAAGGACTTTAGCTCTCCCTTTCCCTTTTGTTACTCTTACTCTTACATGCAAAATGGCGCGCGACCTTTCTCCAGTTGCTCGACTTCGGCCGCGGCTTATAATCTACTATATAATTAATTAAAGTTACATAAACATATAGATATATCATCTTACGAGATATCAGATCACGATATATATACTTGTTGCAACTATTTTGCTAATATATTAATTTTACACTAATATGATAAATATCATCCATAAATTCTACAATAAAAATATCACTTTCTAAAAATTAAACGTTTTGCATTTATTTATTAAAGTTAATGCCACTAAATTAATATTTTCAAAAAAATAATTAGAAAATGCAAAATAGTTGCACAAGTTTAATTTTCATTCAATTAATAGTTAAGTGTCTTTCTCTCAATACTTTTACTGACGAAGGTTTCTACTTTTGATTACAGATTCAGTGGCACAAACGATTACTCTTACGAGTCTCGCCTTCCTCCTGACTTCGTGGCTGAACTCGGCATCGGGAGTACCCACGAACCATCTACAATTTATGTCAAACTCCAGTGCCGTTGAAACAAAACCCTGGTCTCAGCCTTGCGGCACCCGATTGGCGGCCTCGCAAAGGATGCACAGTTCCAACGATTCGCACAACATTATGAAGAGGGTGCGAACACAGTTGCGGGTCGCACAAAATCACTTCAACAAGACTTTCAAGGACGTGCGCACAGTTTACTCGAAGGTGAGAGACGAGAGCGCTCCACTCGCGACCGCGATTCCGTAATTAATTGCAGCGCGGCGTCGGGGTAAAACCGCGTAGGCAGTTCTCGCTCGAGGGGGACTCGCACGTGCGCGCGATGCAACGCGCATCGCTAGTATGCAGTCCTAGTTTTCCATTAGTAATTTGCATTGGTTACGATGTTCCACGCACATTCAGCATAATTACTTTTTCTCGAGTCCTGCGGCGCGCTTCTAGACATCTCACCGAGATATTTGATGACAAATCACTTCCGTCGCGGATTATAAAACGAACGCATTGCTCGCAACGACTACTAAAAATGTCGTTATCGCGAAATGTTATTAAACGTTGTCTTCACGAGACGAAGATAAGTGAATACATTTACATAAGAAGCTTTACTTGTTTATAATGCCATAGTAACGAGATGATAAATGTTATTGTTTGGTCTACTAGAGAGTCTAAGATCGAATTTATCCCGCACGGATCGCCGTAGCTTGGATAGAGCGATATATTTTGTTTATCGACTTTTATCGCTTTGAAGCTTATGGACACGCATGACCACATTCCAAGACAGATTTGTGATATTATGGTATTTGATACCATAGTGCGCATAGTACTAGATCGATATGAGCAAGCAAGACTGCTTATGCTCACAAATGCATGTAAATCACGTCAAATATTGTAATTCGTTAAATGATTCATTAATGTATCGCGATAATCGTTTATGATAATCACTTAATTTATGTTTGGATTTATACAATATGACAGTATTGGTATAGTTGAATGCAGTTATATATTTTATTCAATGATACGCGCAATCAAGTATTAATAATTTATGTATATGCGTGTTCAAAGATTCAATAAAATTTTTATTAAATTCTATATTTTATAACAAGAATTTCAACAATTTGAGAAAAAATTATATTAGGTGGCGACATAGATTTATGACTCGCGAGATTATATTATTTTGTCCTTTTGCTATAGGTGTACAGAGTGTTGCAGTATAAGGAGCAATATAAGATGAATTGGTTGCCCAAAAGACAACTCGAGTGGTATCATAGGGAACTTTGGTGTCTGGAAAAGGGGAAAAAAGCCGAACGTGCCCTTCCACGTCTATATGACGCGCTTCAAAGATTCTCAATTACGTTCTATGAACTTAGAGAATTTCAGCTCAACTCAAGTATCGATGTCAGTCGCGGCGTTATTAAGAAACGGACCAAAATCATCGACAAAGCACATAATCAGGTTCTTAGGGTAAGTTAGCATATTTCTCGCGTCTGACAAGATAAGATCTATCGATATTCGTTGATATAAATTGATAATTGTATTTATACCGCGGGTTAAAATTGCTCGTAAATCGTAAATTAATTGCTCAACAAATGCGAAATATAAAATCATAAATACTTTATTACTTTGACTTGAGTCAAGTTATCGTAAAACTTACGAGCATGTATATGTCAGGCAATATCAATCTATTGCAAGTGAAAGTGCAAGCGTGTAAAAGTAATACTCCGTATGATTGCAGTTGCTGTGCGAAGTCGAAGCGGCCATGATAAATCTGGAATTGAAAACATCTACTTTGAACATCTCTGAAAAGGATAATATGCATTGGGCGAGAGATGGCGATTTGACGCTAATGTTAATTCAAGATTGGGGTGTGTTAAAACTTTATCATACTTTCCTGAAAGATTGGATAAAAGTTTTTCGCAATGCCACCACGAATAACACTTGCGGTCATAACGTAAAATCTTCGCCTTTTACGCCGAATATACCTAAAAGATGGTTTAACGGAAGGGGTACGAGAATATCGAAGATGAAAAAGCATCGACTGATAAGGAAGCCTGGTCGAAACGGTCCCCTGCGTCAGAATACGAAAACGGGATCTCAAAGGAACAGACTGATGAATAAGAAGCAAAAAAGACCTACGTTATAAATGTAGACTACATTTCGAACCTGAAGAAGTTTGCGCTTAATATCGATGAGATCTGCTGATAATTTAAAGACACCGCTCTATACAGCGTCGAATCGTATACTATTTCATATTAACATAACTTTTATATTTATTCCATTATCGCAATCATATTCATCTGAATAGTTTTATTTGTTTTTTAAATATTTGCCAACAAAACTATTGTGTTAAGATTATATATCTCGATAGCCGTGAAAGCTGTTTAATTCAATGTCAGTGTTGATCAACGCTATTGGATTATGGTAATAGAAATATTTTATCGACAACACGCGGCTGCATACTAGAGACAGTATTAAGAGATCTATTTCAGAACAGTATTATATCTAATAACTTACATATAAAATATACCGAACATAGCCGATAATGTTGATAATAATATTTCGAGGTACACGGTGTATACTTATGTATACTTGAATCGATTAGACTCTCAAAATTATCGGTCCAGCGGATTACAACGGCCGTTAAAATCTAAACATCTAAAACACTAATCTTATCGTATATAAAAGGAATGTAAACAACTCGTTTTTATTCTCAGACATTCAGTAATTTAAGGAAAGTGCAGTTATGGAAATGCGTATCGGAAAGAGAGAATGAGAGAGAAATACAGAAAGATAAATTCGCAGATGCAGATTTTTCGGGTCTGAGATCGATCGTCTTGCGCTCGATATTTATGTCGATATGTCAACATAGATTACGCTCACGATCAAAGCGACTTGTTATACGGTCACGGATTTGAGACTCGATTAAACCGATGGATTTCTGCGATACGCGCAGGTGGCGATAGTACGTGAAAGGATCAGCAACGAGTTTAGACGGCTTGTGAGACTTATTTATTCTAGCTTTAAGAGCGAATGGCGAGAGCTTAATGTCATTTAGCTGTGATATCCCGAGCGTACGCGGACGTACAGAGTTCCTACGTTTATACATATAGGTGCATATGCACATACACATATACACTTACATAGATAGGTATCGTGCGTTAAACGCGCACTATACGTACGTAATAGACGTAGATGATTCTCTCCTCTTTTCCGGTGTGTTTTACCGAAGAATCTCGCCTTGTCGGGAACACATGACAATTTTACCTTTTCTAGTTAGTCGAATCCGTTGCGTCGTATGCGCATAGACGACGCTAGAAGCGTTACAGCGGAAATCAAATCCGAAGGTTTTCGCGGTTCCTTCTGTCTCGCTTTGGACCAGATATGCACGCAAATGCGCTAACTGATAATAAAGGACCATTATGAATATTAATATGAGAATCCTTCGAGCGAATCTTGATTTTATCAGCGTGTCAACATGTGACGAAGTGACACGTCTTTCTTGCGATAGATTATGATTATGATTATATTTATATCGATAGAGATCCGATATTTTAGGATAAAACAATGTGTATGTATATGTAATATGTAAGTACATTCATATCTTAGCGTTACGCATATTTTTGTACTTGTATGTATGCACACGCCGCGATACAAAATGTTCGTAAACGCGCATTTACATTTAAGACCATAATGCATTTTATACAATATATGTTGAATATTTATTCGGGCGTATATGCATAGCGTTATGTTTTATTTATTATGTATCACGTTACCATTGCATATATATTTATTGTCATGCCTTTACTTATATGTGATCATCTCGAATAAATTCAATGTTTTGTATCGAACTGAGATTTGGATAATAGAAATACCTTTATAATCCACGTAGTAATTTAACTTTAACAATATTGTAAATCGTTCGTTTTACATGAACATTCGCTCGAAAATATCAGGAATACATGAAGGATCTCCATTCTGTAATGTATTCGATCATTATCCATAATATACACAATGTAGAAATAAAATGTAAGTAAAAATATGCTATTTAAAATGCAATAAAATGCATGACTCATTTCAATAGACATTTAATATTTTAAGCAATTAATTAGATAAGCTATTAAATAATGTCTAATGTCTTTTGTTAACTTTTTGTAACTGCCATTCCATATTTATATATATATATATATATATATATATATATATATTGCTATCATATATTATTTTGTCATTGGTCTTGCAACAGTAACATAATCCTTATTTATAACGTTTATCTAAAATAAATTTAGTCATTTTATTTTAAAGACAGCAAAGTATAATTGTATAATAATAAATATTACTATTAATTTTTAATTTTATTAAAACATTTTTTTAAGAATTTTTAAACTAAACTTTTAACCAAAAATTTTAAAATTGTATTTAATTTATAGACTAAAATTATTTTACATTTAATTTACTATTTTTTTAGAAACAAAGTGATTAGGTTAACATAATGCAGTTTCATTATCAACAAGCTTTTCTAGACGCATCAAGTGTTGTAATAGGAGTACACGAAGAGTGGATAGGTTGTAATTGCTCTTTGCTGTACTATGTATTTAGAAAAGATAAATCTTGTTGTAGTTTAATCATCCGGCATTGCATTAATAAATTGATTATTATATAAAAAGCTAAAATGCTTGTCTATTCAATTTAATCTAGTCATCTAAATAAATTAAGCAAGCAAATAAATTAAACTTTTATCCATAATTTTGATTTAATTTTAAACATAATGATTTAAAAAAAATAATATTCAATTGCTTACAATTAATGTTTACTATTGTATTAGCATTAAAAATAATAATGCTTATTATTCTTTTTTTATTTTTGAATGCTGCCAAATGAAAAAAAGTATACAGTTTATTGAGTCAATCACTTATTATAAAAAATTTCGACAATTGAAATATACTTTCTTCTATTTTCAGTTATAAACTTTTTATTAATCTAACTTGATTTTTCTTTTTCCATCGCAATATTGTATTTAATTTCATATGAACATTATAATATAAATATTATACAAAATATTTTTTTATGAAAATATTATATAAATTAAATTATTTTAAAATTATTTTAATTATTTTAACCAAATATTACAATTCATTTCAATATATTAAATTTATTTCAATCAAGTTTGGTGGAGTCACGTCAATGCGTATGATGCGCTTCTGTGTTTGAGTCAAACTATGCTGCTGCTATTTGTTTCCTTTTGTTCATGATACACGCTCGCAAAATAAACGTCACGCATCGTAATTTAATCGGGCGTGAGAAGATCTCTAATCTTAGTTCGATGAATTCCCGAGCAATTTAATTATAGCCTTGCCTTTTATGGCATATTTCTTACATATTACAACGAATGCGTACGTACGCACCGACGTACGCACCGACATTACGTCTACTCCATTCAGAAGTTTTTTCACCATCTTCTTCTCCATGTTTCGGCGGGAAAGAATTGACCTCCTGACGTCAAAATTCTTTCTAGGCCATCGGAGTAATCGGAATCAGACACTACGTGCATACGCACACGCGTGCAATTTGCATAGAAATTATATTTTATTTTTAATAATTTGATACATTTGTATGACATAATCGTTAAAAATTATAACTACTTATCATTCATAAAATTGTTTAATAAACATTTATATACATTATGTTTTCTTTGCATTGTATAAGTAGGTTGCAACAACAATTATGATATAAAAAATACGTTGCACCTTTCAATAAATATATCAACAAATTTTTTATAATATGTAAATTCAAAAGATGATTATTATGTATACCAAATTTTTTAAAATTTTGTATATTGTATCTCAAAATAACAGATGCAACGAATGCTGTGAGAAGCTGATGCCTTCTGTTATAAATATTTTTCAGCTTCATTCTTCTCGACTCCAAATATAGCGGCACGAATCTTTTGAATAATAATCATTACACGTGTTACAAATAAGAATAACTGTTTTAAGTATGACGAGATGTCGATCGCGGATCTCTAGTGATTCGTTTGACGATACGGCTTTCCCCTTTTGATTCATAAAGCAAACACAACGGTGTTTGCGTCGCGGTATCCAAGAGATTTCTGACGATATTGCACGTACTTCCGAGGCACATACAGACGCCATAAACGTATGACGACAGGTACCATTCGTGTTTCGAGGAAAATCGGAACATCTATATATGTAGACGAGATCCACGAAGTGCAGCCAATGGGGGTTATTATTGCTAAGTGATCACGTCACTTAAATAAATTTGAATAGTTACATGACAAAAACTCTGTGATGTCTATGAATGTAAATTACTTATGAAACAACATACAACTTTAAAATGAAATTATGTATATCATTAAAATTTATTTCACTTATGCTGAAGTTGAAATTAAATATTAAATAAAGATATCAGATTTATAATTGATTCTACAATGATATCATTATTGACATATCAGAAACCTCAGGTCATAATTCATAATATACGTATCAGTATTATAACCTGAAAATGCTTAAAAAAAAAAAATATCTCCGTCAATGAAGGAGACTTCGTTTATGGTTTCTTGGGGATCTCTATCAGCGACATGGTAAAAAACCGTGGACAAAATCTTTGCCGCTACCCCACCGTCTCCGCATCAAGCGTCGAATATGCGTGCGTACGTATGATTGTTTACACAATCCGATATATAAGGAGGAAGCACGAGAGTTTGACAATCTCAGTTCCCAATCTCACATCGATCGAGAGTATTGTGCAGTGCCTATCGTTACCATTTTATCCGCAAGTGTATTCGACGAGATCGTCGCTGAAGACCTTTGAAGAGCAACTGCGAAAAATTTTGTAACAGTAAATTCAAACATGTTCCTCAAGAGCGTTTGTCTGATCTCAGTTATCTTTGCCGTTGCTTCTGCGGCTCCAATGACATCCGAGTCGGTACCAACGTGGCACTTACCATGCGGCGAAATCCTCAACTTACAACCTGTCTCATTGAAGAACCTTGAGGAGGAAATGAAGACCAGTCTGGAGAATATTAGACTGCAACATCAGCTGACGATGAACGACTATTTGAATCGAGACTACGAATACTTGTACGAGAGAGTTAGGATCGGCGTCAATGATCACCAATACATACCCAATTGGGTGCCTAGCAAGAAGGATGTGAATTTAATAAGAAAACTGGCCAACGCTAATGCTGCAATGGTGAGTGCAGTCACTCGATTAACATTGTTGCTCGCTTATATCGTACATATTTCAAACCGCGACTTACTGTTTGCTGTTATTAAATGTTTCAAACGGTATATTCAATCGTCAAGAACTCTTAACACAAATACGTGGCATCAATTGATTTTAAAAAGATGTTGCACTCGCAAAAATCTCTTAGAAAGTTGCTACATACATAACTTTTTCTGAAAAAAAATTTTTCTACATTTTTTTTAGTTAATGTTCTTCTCTTTTTCTCTCTTAGATTCTATATAAGATTAATAATGCTTCTCGGTGCAACATTGTTAACTACATTAATTTCCTTAGAAGTTCTCCCTTACACAACTGTCGTTCCTTCACCTTCATCGTTGCAATGTTCGTAACGTTATATCTCAGGCCGTTAGTTTCTTCTCGGTCGTTAATATTCATCGTTCGTAACCGTCGTTACCGTGTAGCAGAAATGAAAGAGCAATCTATGCAAAGCACTACCGCGTGCAGGGAAGAGATGGATAACAAGTTCGCGGGAAAGAGAGAACAGTGTTGCAGACCACCGTCGCGTTTTCAACGGCCGGCCGACCGGTCGGCTGACCACCCGGTTGCAATTGATTAACGCAACGTTAAATAACAAATTTTAATGAGACGGTAATTATTATAAAGTAGCAGGCGAGCAGGAGCGAGTACGGTCTTTCGTGCAGTGCGCGCGCAACGCGACCGTACGTGTGCACTCATGTTCGCCGGGTCGCGCGGCTGCGTAATCGCGTTTGTCTGCCTCCTCGATGCGAGCACGCTGATAACGCAAGGCTGATATCGCGACCCGCGGTGCCGGCATTCGGGCACGCAGCCCCCTTCCCTCTCTCTGCCACGCCCCGATCGCTGGATTGCAGCAACATCGATCCTCCGCGTTGCACTTTGTTGGGGTTTTAGTTGCGCGTTCTCAGAAAGTGAGAACATTTTACATAGGTCTTAAGTTTACCCATAGGGATTAAATTGCAATCGTTGATAACACGAATGAAAATTAAATTTTATCAAGCATTAAAATTCTTTTTTGATTGAATATTCTAATTTTAAATATTTATCTGCGCGTTTCTCATTTTCGCACATTTTCTCGTTGTTTTACGATTATATAACGTTATTCAATAAAAGAATTTCAAAATTATCGTGAATATATGACAAGACTTCTTAAACATAAGTTTAATATAATAAATTCTTATAATTGGAAAAAATACGTTAAAATGTTATATTCTAAAAAAATTTCTAAAAAAGGATATTGTTAATTTACGTATTAAAGGATTTGTTAATTTATTGTCAAATTTATGTATTTAGATAATTATAAAAATTTTTATGAAAAACAAAGAGAGAGAGATTTCTTCTTTTAATTCTTTTAAAAAAAGAAAATTACCGTTAAACGAAATGTTTATTAATATGTATATAGATATGTATATGTGACAAAATAATAACACACAATATTTACAATTAACATTGACGTTTCGTCAGCTAAAAAAGGAAGTGATGCTATTCGTTACAAGTAGCTTCATACCGAAGTTTAATAATATTTTGAAAAGAATTATATGAATATTAATAGGCAAACTTAAGTGAACGGTTTTCAGTAAATTTCATGTAAATATTAAAACAAAATAATAATTTTCTTACAGATTGTTAACCATTTCCCGAAATTGCACATGGATCTCCAGAAATTCTCCGTGGCGTTCGAGGAATTAATCGAGGATGAACCTAATTCTCAAATTCAGCAAGCTCTTAAGGCAACTCAATCGTACTTAACGATGATGTTGTGCGAAGTCGAAAGCAACATCATCTCCCTGCCCTCCATACGACTTCCATCACGCGTGGAACGAAGCATTATGAGCCATACCGAGCGAAATCCTATTGATGAGACACGGAGACTCATTAGAGATTGGGGTGTAATTCTCAAATATCGAGATTACCTACACGCTTGGAGACGCGTATTCGATTATTAAAAATAAAGAAAAGAAGTATAAGACTATCGTCAATGGATCATTGATCATTTTCATTGATTCATTTTCTGGACAAGAAGATGCATCAGATGATTATTGGAAAGCATATGCCATCAATGTAAATTGATTTAGCACCTGCCGCGACCATAAAATTACGTCACTATCTACATGACGATGCAGTAAACGTCGAAGCTATTGACAATAATCGTTGGTCACGTAGCAATTATTGCAAAATCGGAGACTACAAATTTGCCTTATAGTCCACAGTAATTTTTCAAAATTATTTATTGAAACGATTATTTATTATTACATTATTCATGATTGAGCATGTAGCATATAGTATTTATTCTTATATATAGCAAATTATTTATTTGATATATTATTTATTTATTCGGATCGATAGTATGCATACGTTCATCAATTCTACCTTCTGAGAGATAATTTGTAACCGATACTTTCAAAGTTCTCGGTTATATTTTGTGATAATCAGTCACAATGACAATCGTAATTGTTATATTTTTGTGACAAGTGATCACTCGTAGATTATTTACGAAAGACATGATTTGTCGAGAATTTTTATTTCCGGCAGTATTATATATTTATAACTAAGCAAGATAATATATTTATATATATTTTTGTATATTTAATAACTTATTTATAAATTTTATATTTAACTTAAAAATAATAAAAATAATAATTTATTAAATAATTTTTTATCTATTATTATTATTATCCGATTCCTATTTGATCTTTATGAATCCTTACATTGACTGACAATTATGTTGTTATCAGAGAATCATGGTAGATGTCTCTGCAAGTAAAAACTTATGTTACAATTAAATTTATGTTACAAAAAAAATTATATTTCATATTAATATTAAAAATATTTAGCGAGATATTCTATAGTGATATAATCTCCAGAAAATAAATTTACTCATATTTTCAATAAAGTCCTCAAATATCGCATGGTAAATACTTTGGACTTTGCAAAGTAGTGCTACGTTACTATGCCAGCGATATGCTGAAACCTATTTGTTCCTCCAAATAAAGATTTTATCAAACATATTTTATCAATTTGATCGTCTTAAAATATTATTATTAGTGATAAGCTTAACAAATTTATTACATATTTACTCTTTACAATTAAAATAAAAGCAGCAAATCAGAATATTGGTAATACATTCACGCAAAATATGATAGCATCTCGGTCAACACCGACTAACAGTAATATACCATCAATGTTATAAGTTCCCATTCAACAATATAAATGTAATATAATACAAGTGTTACATAACAATTACATTGTGGAAAATTATAACGTTGACGTTTTGTTGCTATTAGTTGATGTTTATTAAGATAACATTTATAATTCAAGCAATATAACATAACTCATATAATACATTTATATATACATTTTATATATTTGGTAACTTATTTTATAATTTGTAATGAAAATAATAATAATTTAATATCCCTTTATCTATTTTTATTATTATTATCCGATTCCTATGTGATCCTCGTGAATCCTATGCTATTGATGAACACGAACGATGGATTTGGACGATTTTTAACAGTGGCGCAAAAAGGAAATCTTTCTCCTTGTAAATTACGCAACGTTTGAAAAACGGAACGGAAGAGAGAAAAATGTCGTGATGAGACAAAAACGGATTGATTGTCCGTCTTTATCTACTCAATAACTTCACTGCACGGAAGAGAATCGCGTACATAACATGGAACAGAACCAAAGAACGTGCACATAGCAGGTTATCCTTCGGAAGTATCCGTAAACATGGCTATGCAGTTCAATGTGCACGTTTTATGCATATAGAGGCGCTGGTTTATGGGACCATGATCACTCTCAGGCTTCTCTCTGTTAATAAACATTTTTTTAATTTTAATTAATTGCGTTATATGTAATAATGTATTTAAAAAATATCCATTTTCATGCAAAAAGTAAAATTAAAAATAGAAATTCTGCAAATATAAATAAATATATATTAAAAATAATAATTAATAATAAATTGATTAAAATGATTATATATGACTAATTTAAACAATATAACATACTTTTAATTAAATATACTTTTAATTTACAATGCCATTTATCTTCTACATAACAAAGAGCCTAGAACATAAGACATAGAAGAATACTTTTTGATTTTCAAATATTTTGGCATAAATATATCTAGCAGGATTGAGTTAAGTCCGTGTTCGACAATATCAATTTCTATTTATATCTAAGCAGATGCGTATAAATATGGATAATAAAAGAAAAGAAATTCAAATGAAAGTTGAAGAGATATGAATTTGACAGAAAAAAATGAGCACATTATGTGGTTCCTCATTGCAGTGAGCATACTTGCACGAGTATTCCATAAATATGTTTTTAGTCATCCGATTATTTATATCCTATTTTATATATTACATACATTATTGTTAAATATTTTAGTCCTTAAATTGGCATAATCAGTTATGATACATAATACATTATCAACAAATGAATAAGCCGTGTACATAAAATTCCTTGCATAAAAAGCAACGATAATAAATGCTGACGTAGTCAAATATAAATACAAATATGTTATATATAGATAATATAAAATAATATTTTAGTTTTTTCAACAAATAATAAATCATTATATCAATTGCAGTAAGAAATTCCATAATAATAAGAAGAAAAGAACGAGTGATAAGAAAATAATTATAAGTCTATATTGTTTTGAATAACTTGAATGTTAAACTTCAAAATTATTTTAATATTTTGTCCTTAAAAATGCATGTAGTTTGCTCGACAGAAATAGTATTAATGGACAAAATACTAATTAGATTAAGCTATTAATGATTAATTCATTTTATTTATTCATTCGGTAATAATGTAAATTATTTGTTTAGTCATTAATGGATTACCTTTCTTACTTAAATTGTATAAAAAAACTAGTTAAACTTGTCATTGTTTTTTATGTACAAATATCTAATTCTTACATCATAAAGTATTTATAAGTTTTAATGCATTACTTGTACGATTCTATATTTATTAGGCACATATCACATCATGTTTATATCAAAGAGCATTTATTAAAAATGTTTATTTGTTACAATTTTTAAACGTACTATACGATATATTATACAATATAAAATTTGTATATTTCTTATATCTATACTAATTTTAAATCATGATACATACATTAGTATATTTATACGGATGAATATTTAGTGCGATATATATAAAATATTATTCGTAAAAACACAATGTGTAAGTAAAAATTTTCTCAATGAGTTTTTTATATAAAAAATATTTTACATTTATATATCTACATTTTATATAGAAATTTTATATAAAAATCTATTCTACATTTCTTTATTGCAATGTATAATTCATAATATATTTTTTTCTAACAAGAAAAGAAAGAAAATTGGCAAAGTACGTTTACTACCTAATGATTAAACTTTATCCAATTTACTTTGCGAATTATATTGTATATTGAAACAGAAAATGATAATCTGATAGTTGAATTAAAAGGTGGATATTTAAAACAGAGAAGATTCGATTCTCTAAGATCACGAAATCCGTGATGCCCGATCATAGTAGATGCGAATCGTAGTCGCTGGCATTCAAATGCCAACTCTTTGTTCACCAGTTTCCACGTCGAGAATTACACTTCTACAGATGGTTACCGCCGTACATCTACAAAAGAAGTTCTTCGTATACACGCCTCGTATCTACACGGATCGCAATAATTAGATGGCGCAGGATGCTCACGAACAGTATCGAGTCAGCAGAATCTGCTTTGGTAGTCGATAGTCATTATCCGTCGTCGTGATTTATCAGCAGATATCGTGAGAAAAAACCATGAACTAAAAAAGCGCATGGTGACACCGGAAGATGTAGGGACATCTGTCCGCATCATTTAACACCTTGATAATAAAGAAAAAGAAAAAGAAGCGAGGAATGTCTTCGTGTCTCGCGTAGTTAATTATCAAATCGCAATTATTATCGCAAGTTATAGTAAAGAGTAATGCTGATGTCATAGAAATCTCTCGTGACAAGAGTTAATAATATTGAATGACCATGGCCCCCTTCCGACTGATTTTACGTCTGAGAAGCGAATATGAGCTATTGGGGATGACACGTCGTCAATCAACAACAATGATCGCATTGACGTTGATACCGTTGCCAACGTCTTGGCTCGAGAATAGGACGCGCAATAATCTTTGTTATTATAATTCGTGGTACCGCCCATAAAGAGACACTCTCGGCATCACGGAATCACGCAATAATCCCGACGTTCACACCGTGCGAAATTGCCGGAAGGTTCTTACCTTCACTCACCATGAATCACACCAGCAGAATTATATTCGTCGCATATGAGAAAAATAGACTTCGTTCTCATATTTTTTCAACAATCTTACATAAATAATATACATATAACTCTATTCTCTCGTATAATATCTCTTTAAATGTAATTAGTATTAAGACATGTTGTTTTACTTTTTCATCACTTTTAATAATTAAGAAAGAAATCTTATAAACAAAAACCTACATATTTAAGATTTCATTTTTCACTAGATCTTTCATTAAATCATATACGAATCTAGAAGTATAAAGTCCAATCATATATGCATTTCTCAGGCATCTTCAAATGAAACGTCGCTTGCACGATCATTTCATCGTACGGTTGCATCTGCCAATTGTACAGAAACGTTTCGAGATGTCGTGCAATCTTCGAGAGACTCTCCTTCCTGCACCCAAGAATGAGAAAGCCGTTTCGTGGTTGCGCCCATGTCACGGATGAAGCATGTCGTCATACAGGTAGTAATCGTTCTGTCCAACATATTCGCATAAATCTTACATGTGAATCTATAAATTCCATCAGATGTGCCGATCTCACCTAGTAAGTACTATATAGTTACATCAATCTAGCCATTATCTCTAATTTAACGGCTCAACATTAAAACTTTGCAATGCGATTTTCAAATTTTTTTATATAAATCTGCGAAACACC